CAGAGACCAAAGGAGACTGAATGTTTGTCCTACATTTATTGTGTTGGGGGCTGCAAGGTGGCTCTGTGGTTAGCATCGTTGCCTCTGCGTAGAGTTTGCATGGTCTCCCCGTGCAGCGTGGGTCCTGTCCGGGTTCTCTGGCTTCCTCCCACAAGTCCAAAAACATGTTGAGGTTAATTGGTGATTCTAAATTGTCCAAATGTGAGTGTGCTTGGTTGATAGACTGGTGACCTGTCCAGGGTGTCTTCTGCCTTCAACCTGAGTCGGCTGGGATAGACTCCAGCCCCCCGCGACCCTAGTGAGGATTAAGCGGTGTGTAGATGATGGATGGATTATTGTGTTGGACAAATATTCAACTGTCAACAAATGTCTAAACTGAGAACTGTTTCCTAACAAGTTAGTCAAAGATCTTCAAAGATAACAAGCTGTATGTTAATGCTTGTTTCTATCCTGTAAGTGACCACAGCAGTCAAAGTTTAGAGTTGAGATATTTTCTTTATACTGAACCCTTTAAAATCAAACTTTGCTGTGATGTCAAACATAATTTATCCTTTTTTAAAAATATGTGCATTGTTTTTTACATTACAAATGCATGCATCTTCTCAAATATCAGAGAGAGGATTACTTCTGTTCAAGGCTCAATGTGACCTTCTCATAGGGTTTGATCAGAGGGCTAAACAGCACCACGAGTAAATCCTCTCCGTACGCACACAGTAGCGAACACACCGCACAGATTCCCGTTGATAGCATGGCAGCATGTCATGAGGAGCGCCGTATAAATCAAAGCCAAATTACATTCTTTAAATCTTAAGGGCATGTTTGGTTTGAAGAGCCCCATCAGGGCTCCATCAAACACCCCACTGATGGGCATTCTCATCAGTCCAACGCTATAATCCATCATGCAGGACTCGGCGGGGCTGCCTGCTGAGACTTGGCGTTCCTTTCTGGGAATAGCTTTGATAACTGACAGCAAGTTCCTTCGCAGGTAGCGTCTGAATAACAGCAGAAATGCATGCAAACCGATGCATTATTACCACTGATGTTGGAATCCACAGCGATCGTTAGAATAACCAAAGGGACACAATCTGACCGAGTCATTACGCATCTCTGCTCTGTTTTAGCCATCACATGATAGGATTATGTGTTTACTAATGCACATGTGCACTTTGCAATGAACCATTAACCAAATCTAAATCATCCAAACGTGTCTGTCAGAAGGACAATAATGGACGAGATAAAAACATTGGATTCTGGTTTTATCTTTATAAGGGTTGCATTACTGTCTATTAGTCCTCCTTTGTGCTAATTTACGACGATACATTTGCATTTTTTTTGCTGACCTAATGAGCCACTTTCCAGTCCGAATGAATTAATGAAGTTCATCTCATCACCTTTTAATATCCTCTTTGTGTTTTTCCTAATTATTGAAGACTCGTATCCCCATCTCAGCAGCTAATGGCCATTCAATTAAAATGCTTTCCTTCAGAATTACAGTAGCCAGGCCATGTATTGGGAACAGAAACAGATAAT